AAAGTAAAGCCATATTAATATGCTGAGCTGTAAAAGGCTCAAGTCAACAACTTCAGACAATTGCCAGCTCTGCTGATAACCCACTACTATTATGGACTATTGGACTATATTGGATTATTTTGCTGAACAGGAGTTGATTTATCTTTGATAATTACTCCCATCCCTCTTCTCTGTTTCCTATGTGTAGGATGATGGTTAGCTGAAGATTAGAGCTCCTGAAAGGGATTTCTAATTTGCTTATCTTCATTATTGTAGTGTAGATTTTAGTCTCCTTTTATCTCTTTCCTTGAATGAAACTATGCTTTTCGCTCTACCCTTTAGAATCAAAACTTTTATGTAAATTATTACTGCTAATGTCCAATAACCCTTTTTACCACCATTCATTCTATTTATAAATATGTAGAGAGGATAGCATTATATTTTTGCTTAATGGGCATGTCTCTTACTTTTCTCAGAGTTCTTTAGTTTGACTCTTAATGTTAACTCTGTGGCCTTTCTATTATCTCCCTTTCCTCCAAGTGTCCGTAATCCTTGTGTTTGTCACATTTGGGTTGAAGATATCTATTGATGCCTATGGACCACAAAGAGATCATTAATATTGAAGATGAAGCTTTGAACAATTATTGGCCTCTTCCTCTCTCCCTCCCACCCTCCTCTCCTCCCCCCTTGCACCCCCTGTCTGCATAGGTGGTGCTTCTCACCTCTGGGCTTCACTGAAAAGTGAGAAAGCCTTGAAGTGTTTCCACATGTTCCTGTGTGCTTCAGTCTCTCTAACAAAGAATCCCTCTATTCCAAAACTGAGAGCCAGAAACATAGAGATTGAGAGTTGTTCGTAAAGGGTCACTGGGAAAGGGACACTCTGTGGAGGGGGAGGAGGACGCCCCTGAGGGAAGGACAGAGGACTAGTAGGGTGCCCTCTCCCTGCTCCTTCCCTTTTGCTCTTTCCCTCTCCTTTCCTCCCACGCTGCCTCCTTGTGAAATGGGATCCTTCTTGCAGCCTACAGGTCTACCCCATAGAGCAAAGAGCTGGGGCAGAGAGGAGTGGGGCAGACTTGAAGGGACAAAAGGAAAATGAGCAGGACAAGTGGCTACCCTAGCTGAGCCAGGTGTGGTTTATTGGGGGGGGGGGCAAGAGAGTGGCACAGATGTAAGTGCTTAAGCGGATCTGCCACGTGTTTATCGGATTCCTAACCTGCCTTCCCTGATTTACCTAAGCAGCTCACCAGAGGGTGAAATGACCTAATTTGTTTCCATGGAAACATACAGATTTCAACACATCAAATTGTACTTTTAAAAGTTTTATTAAATGTGTAACATTTTAATGAAGATCCTGAGTCTACAAAACCCACAGTACTCCTGAGGGGTAACCGCAGCGAGAAGCAGAACGATTGGCTCTCCCTTGGAGTCAGTATGCTCTTGCTGTTTTGCAGGCTTTGTTTGCAAGGAGGAAGAAATGGATCTGAAAGCATTTGTAACTCTTCAAATATAATTGTACTTGAAAGGAATTCTTCAACATGCTGAGAATTATCCATTTGTATGTTTCAAAAGTTAATGCCTCTTAAAGTAAAGTGATAGTTTACTAAATTGGGAATGTTGGAAAAGAGGGGAAATAGGTATTCTTTTTATTTGGAAAAAAAAAAAAAACCCTTTTCATTACAGATCGTGCGTCCTCTGTGTCTATGGGTTCCTATCTATGGATTTAGCCAATTAGATTCAAAACATCAGGAAAAAAAATTGCAACTGTATTGGACAAGGCTTCTTTGTCATGAGTCCCTGCTCAATACTGAATCATACATAAGTTAGAGAAGACATCAGGTGTAGGGGAGGAGGTACATGGATTATAAGCAAATACCACCCCACTTTATGCAAGGTACTTGCATATCTGTGGGTGGCTTCATATCTGAAGAACTTCATTCTCTGTCTCAACAGAGTGACTTTGGTACTTTAAATGTGGACTCTAGAAGGCTGGAGATGTAGCTCAGTGGCAGGGCTCCTGCCTGGTAAGAGCAAGGTCCTAAGTTCAAGTCCCTGGTTTTTTTTTTGTTTTTTTTTGTTTGTTTGTTTTTTAAGACTATAAGTATGTAAGTGCCTTTTTAAAGCTAATAAAGTTCATAGTACTATACTGTATTTATTTACCTTACATAGCATGATGTTTTGATATAGCGATTACTACAGCCAAGCAAATGAACATATCCATCATTCTCAGAATTACATTTGGTTTTGTGGTGAGAAGACCTGAGCGCTATTCCCTTAGCAAACTTCCAGTACACCGTCCAGAATCATTAACTGTAATTCTCATGCTATATATGAAGCCTTGGTTCCTTTATTTTTCCCCCATTTTCTTCCATGATATAAATTGTTCTAAGCATTGTACGTCCCATACAATAGAGATAGCATGGCACTTTATCATTGTATTTGTCAATGTAAAAGGAAAGTAGCTGACTCTTACCTAGTTATAAGCCTCAGATTATTTTACTCAAAGCTTACGCTTTAATTTCTTGAGCGTTGGCTTTCAGCATGGAGAATTCCATTACTTTATGGATTCTGATTATCATTTGCAACTGTTTGGGGCTCTGAGGCAAGCGAGGCTTACTGAAAATAACAGCAGAGTCTTGTGCTGGCCGCTGGCATTTGTGGGATTTCATGCTGCCGATTGCTTGTGCCCATATTTTCCTGCTAACGTGATGTCTTCTCCAGGTGTGCTCTCAGCCTCGTCTTCCCTAATTCTTCATGAGACCTTTTACCTTACTGCCACTTTATCTTCTTCCCTTGGAGAGCTGGAGATTTACATTTTTTAAGGACATTCTTCATTTTAGCTGAGTTGTGATATTTACCAGTGTAAAGTTGCTTATTCTAACAAAAAATCTTAACATCTTTTTTTTTTTTAGCAATTCTATCACATTGGTAATATATTGATCAATTTCAACTGTTTTGTTTATTCTCCGGATGGATCGATTTTCTTGCTTCTTTTAGCATCTGGTAATTTTATAGTCAGTAAGAGAATAATTGGAGGCAAAAGGTCACATATAAAACTAGAGCTTTAATAAAAATCTGAGAGATTTCACTATGTTAGGAACAAATGCAATGTGATTTAGTTTCTAAGTAAGAAAAGATCCCAAACCCGGATGTGGTGGCACACACCTGTAATCCCCACACTTGGGAGGCTGAGGCAGGAGGATCACTGCGAGTTCCAGGCCAGCCTGTACTACATAACAAGACCCTGCCTCGAAAAGCTAAACAAAAGCAAAAACAGCTTGGAAAAGATCTCGAGAAGAAGGTATAGGATTTTGTCGAAGAACTTATGAGCTAAGTAGATGTCCAAACATGTCTAGTGAGTAAACCTCATTTAAACAGGGCTTAACCCACAGAGATGAGCTCAAATATATATGGATTTTTAAAAATATTTTATTTTACTTATTTGGTACAGGGTCTTGCTACGAAGCTCAAACTCATAGTGATTCTCCTGTCTCAGCCTCCCCAGTGTTGGGATTACAGGCATGTGCCACCAAGCTCATTGTCTGTGGCCATATGGAGCACGTGGCACGGGGCTGGCACGGCATGTGGTACAGGAGATCGAACTCGCGTCCTTGTGCTTCCTTGTCAGGCAGTTAAACTGCTGAGCTATTTCCCAAGCCCCGAGTATATGTGTTTTAATGTGTGTGTCCTTTTTATATATTCACATATATTATTATCCATATTTGACTATGTTTTCCTAGATATTCTTATGCATGTATTCATGGGCATGCAAATATATATATATATATATATATATATATATATATATATATATTGCTATATTGTATCATATGAAAGTAAATGGTCCAAAAATAGTTATTTACAACCCCAAGTAAGAAATTTTAAGCTAATTTTTTTTAGAGAGAGAGAGAAATAAGATAATTTTAACAAGTGAGAAAATGTAAAGTATCTTTGCTGAAATTCTTAAATGGTTCTTAGATTCTAACCCTCGACATTGGAAATTATCCAATGTGAATAGTCAAAAACTCTGCTAAACTATCTGTAAGTTTGTGCCTAAAAGTAGACATAGCATAGTCTCTTTTGAAAGATTTAAAAATAGAAATGGAACTAAATTCTGTCTGATAATTTAAGAAAAGAAATTGTCTTCACATTGCATATATATATAGTAATACGAAGACAGTAAGAAGTACACATACAATGCATTCTTTTGTGGTTAGTATATAAGACTATATCTTTAGAAATATTTGGCTTACAATTTAAGACAAAGTCTCCAAAAATATTACAGACTTAAAGTAATTTGTTTTCCCTCACTATGTTAACTGCTGCATAGCAAATATCTCTAAGTTGGTGGCTTAATTCAATGACCCTAATTATCTCATAGTCTCCGGAAGTCAGGATTTGAGATGCGACTTAGCTGAGTTCGACACTTTCACAGTCCTCTGAAAGTTGGTACACCTTATCCTTTGCCAAAACAAGAGAAAATATGTTTTGAGATTTTCCAGGTGAAAAATCACTATATTAAGTCTACTAAACATACATGTAATATTTACATGATTAGGTTGTCTCACACTTTTACCTTTTGTATTTTTTATTATGGTATCAAGTCAACACCAGCCACTATAGCAGTCAGAAGAACACCCTCACTATTCCCTATGGTGCCAGCACAGAACAGGTGGAGCCATGGACTAAATTTTAGCATTGGGAATAGAATTTAATGCGTGTCTTCAATAGATTGTTGAGAAATTTCAAGAAGACCATGCTTGACATATGGTATTTACACTAGGTACCAACATCTGTGATATTAGAGAAGTGAATCTCATTTTTAATAATTGCTTAGGTGATAAAGGTTGGTCTGAACCGTATAAGAAAAGCTCTGAGAGATTGCTATTTAATGACGAAGACAAAGCAGTGTTAGAAGTTTTACTCGATTTGTATGTTTGACATTTTATTTTCCATGGAGCTAAAATGAATCTGTTTCTCTCCCTCTTTCTCTTTCTGACTACTTTTTTCTTTTTTTGAAATAGACTGAGGTGCTTAGTGAAACAGCTGGAAAAAGGTGATGTCAATGTCGTAGACTTAAAGAAGAATATTGAGTATGCAGCGTCCGTGTTGGAAGCCGTTTATATCGACGAAACAAGGCAAGTCCGAGCCTCCTCTCTCCCCACCTTCCTCGCCCTTTCCCCCTCTTGGTTCCTCTTTCTTACCCTTCTTTCATCTCAAGCAGAAATGTAGCATGTCTTAGCATGTTACCAAAATCAAAATCTTATTAGAATTTGAAAGGTTCTTTTTCATATACCTAATTACCTGTACTTGGATTCTTTTTTGAAAATACATATTTGAAAACCAAATTTTTGAATATAATAAAATCATCAAAAAGTAGAAGTTATTAAGTGGAAACTAATTAAAATGTCCTCTCTGGCATCTTTACTGTCTTTGGGCCCAGTACTGTAGTACTGAGTTTTACTCATGAAAGAATTTTCCCCATTATCTGGAATTTCAGAGTTCTTAGTGAGGAAGAAGGTGTTAGCCGCTTACCCACTCTCTTAAGGTGTATCTGTCACAGCCTCTAAAGAGGAAATCCCAAGAGGGATTGCTGTGGAAATCCCAAGAGGGAAATCATCCAAAGTTAGCCTCTAACTATCAGCCTATAGAGTGGCCACTGGGAAAGAAAGCTGTGAAGAAAGTTGTTGGCAATTGCTGGGGCCCTCTGCAGGTGTACTTGCCCTTTGGGGATATTTGACAAACCAAACCCAGGAGCTCCAGCCAAGTGTCTCCTGGTGCTCAGACAGAGGTGACAGGGAAAGGAGAGCTACCTGTGGGCCCAAAGCTGAGAGGAAGCCTGCAGAAGAAGAGCTGTGAACTTTTCAAGTTTGTCTCAGAAAAGACCTTGGGTTTTTCTAGAGCTGGAATGAAGCTGAAACAGAAGCCTCTTGAAGGACCAAAAAGGATGGACATCAATAGTGAAAAGAAAGCAAAATACCAGAGTGACCACTGGTACAAGAACTAGAGTAGGAATTGTAAAACATAAGCCAAAATGTAAGCAGGCATTTGTGATCCTGGGTTCTTTCTCACCAGGTAAGTATGAGAGGGGGTACACCATGGAGCACCACAGCCACTGTCTAGTCAGACTCTTTGGCCTGTGAGTCCCTGGCCATCCTGTTTCTGAACAACCAGAGAGACTGAGGAAATGAGGTACATGGACAGCGAACACCCTATCCTGCGCCCCTTCTTCTCTGCAGGACAAGGGCAAGGCCTGGGCTTGGGAGAGGTGGAGAATGTTGGACTAAATATGAAATTGAAGCTTCTATTCACCTTTGTGTGTAGGACTGTGTGTGCACACACAGACACACACACACACATGCATACACACAAATGCAGGCACACACACAAATAATGTTTGTTATGTAATAAATCCACATGCTTTAAAAGACAAAATAATGATTAAGGCACCTCATGAAAGTCATGCCTATGTCTTCCTTGCTGTCTCCTCCACTCGCAGAGGAAATCTCTCCTGTATCTTTCCAGAGATGTATTACGAAGTGCTAGTTTGTATTTTTCCATGCTTTCATGGATGGTAGCAGAGAACATGCAGAAGATAGAAATGGTTTTTCATTTTACTTCTTTCACTAAATGAGGGAACTCGGAAACCTTGTACCATGTTCTGAACGTCTTTACAGCCAATAATGAGGATTTTCACTAGTAAGAATCGGAAGAGCTCCCAGGGGAGATATGTTGTCCAGGGGTTGCCTTGGTCCAGAGAACAGAATCTCTGCTAAAGCACAGCTTGGAGTTCTAAATCTTGGGGGGCGGGGGGGGCTAACAAAGCATATGTCTACATCGCAGATTTTTTCTACAATCATTTTCATGATTTATTTCTCCAAATACACATAAAAGTTTATGATCATTTCTAGGAGAATAGAGATCAAGTCTGAATTTTTAAAAAACCTAACATTCTTATAATTTTTCTTGTCTGTGCTATATTGTTTATAAGTTGATTTAGTTGCACAGGCTTAAGATTTCTTCCATTTGGACTTGACATTTTTTCTTACATTTATTAATGAAACTTGGCAACTTTTGCCTCCAAGCATTTTTTGGATATACATCCTTCATCTTATAATGGTACAATGCCAACTATTTTCTGGCTTGCCTATGTGTCCCTCTTTCATTTGATAGATTATGATGTTATATTTTATTATGGTTTATGTCTAGGTGTCCCCCCCAAATCCTCATGCAGTCATGGGGCAGCTTCTGGAATTTGGGGTTGATCACTGTGTGTGTGGGTGCTGCACCTGCCCTGACACTCTGCATTACAATGTCAGGAGCGGGGAGAGGCTGGCTAGCTGCCTGAGCTGCTGCCACCACTACTTTTACTCTCTGCTCTTTGCTGCCCCTATGAACAGCTTCTCTGGGTCATGTGCCACTCTGCTTGAGCCAGATGAGTATGGACTAAAACCTCCACTGACTATGAGCTAAATAAACCTTTCCTGCCTTCCTTTTGGGTGTTGGGTATTTTGTCCCAGCAATGAGAGAAGAGTAACTGAGACATATTCACTCATTTTTATGTTGCATTTCCTTTCCTTGAAGAGCATGACTCCATAGATATTTTGCTAACTTAGTTCCCAATAATCCTTAACTTGTTTAAATATATATTATATTTAAAGCATAGTTCAGGGCTATCCAAATAGCTCGGTGGATTAAAGCACCTGCAAGCAGGTGCAGAGACGAGGTGTTCAATCTCTGGGCCTGCTGTGCTAGCCCTGTTCCCGGGGCAGGGTGAGATGGCAATTGAGACTGGGCATGGTGGTGCACACCTGTAATCCCAGCTCTTGGGAGGCTGTAAACAGGTGGATCACTATGAGTCCGATCTAGTAGTGAGACCCTGAACACTCTGTAGACCCTTCTCTAAAATACAAAATAAATAAATAAAATAAATAAATACATACATAAAGCATAGTTGGCATTTGAAAATTTCTCTTTTGTAGGGAAAACATTTTGTATGATACTTAAGTATGTTACATCAGTTAAATTTTAGGTCATTTGTTTTGTTTTGCTTTTTGTTTTTTATTATTTTAATGAGAATCAAAAGCAATGAGACAGTTGCAAAACCAATTAGTAGGACAGTTTCAATAATTTGCTGTTTTCATAGTGGTTATTCATAGTACAAAAAGCAGACATGATATCCTGTCCAAACACTATTAGTACAAATCTTTCTTTGATTTTTGCTCCTTAAAACAAACCACCCCAATTCCCAGAAATAGTTCATTCCCAGCTTTTGCTCAAACCACATAAAAATGGTCCACTTTTTCATTTTAAAATCTGTATGACATTAGCATTTTTAAATTGGATTAAAAATAATGCCCCACATTTATATCATCTTCAAAAGACTTTTAGCTTTATTATCTCACATTAGTCTCACCACAATCCTATCGGATCGTCAGAGTAATTGTTACTGTCTGCCTTTTCCATTGAGAGAATGAAAATTCATTTAAATATCAAAACAACCCTATGAGATAAAAAAGTCTATTTTACCATCTTGTACATGAGAAAACTGAGTCACAAAAACTTATATAAATTCCTATGGGGTGACCTAAATAGTGGAATTAGGGTTCTGGTAATTTGCTTCCAGAGTTCAGATTACAAATCTTACCCCAAGCCTCTCTGTAATGTTTAATCCAAAGGCGATTTCAGAGGCTTATTGGAAGTTTTATGGCTCTCTGTGTGCAGTCAGGGTGCTTAGGTCGGGGGCCAGCAGCTCTGCTGTGGTTTATCTCTTGCTAATTCAGTCTTAAGCAATGACATGTTGATAGTAGGAAACTTATCAGAGTGGGCTATCACACTATGGAAAATGCCACGAGAGCTACAAATCAGGATTTGGTTTTCCCTAGAAATCCTTTTGTTAACATCACGGTACTAGATAAACCCAGGATTACCTCTTACAAATTTTCCAAGAGCTATGATGTTATGGTAGAAATATCATCTTAAGAAATTCTAGAAAACAATGCTCAATTTGATTTGATTTTCTAGAAATATATCAATATATGTGTAGAAAACAATGAAAGATGTTGTTTGAAAATTGACTGGATTGGAAAAGAAATTTGACTGTGCTGAAATTGACTGGATTGAAAATTGACTGACCAGTGAGATAGCTCAGTGGACTAAAGTGCCTGCTTAGGTAAGCTTAGACAAGCACAGGGACCACAGTTTGATCCATGGCATCACATGCCATGCTAGCCCCACCCCAGGGCAGGCTGATCCAGCCACAAAGCAAAACAAAAAAAAAAAAGAAAGAAAAAGAGCAAAAGGCCAATATGTAGTAATATAGGACAAAATGGGGCTTGCTAGTTGGTTGAAAACACATGTGTATGTACACAACACACACACACACACACACACACACTTACCTCTTGTGACTAAGCATTAGTGACTTCAGGATTTCAGCTCATTTTTTTTTTTTTTTTGTCTTTAAAGATTATTTTTGTGAGAAAAGAGTTTCTGATTGAAGCTGAATTGTGACCTTTGTGGGGATTATAATAAAATTCCCTAGTGAATATGACCATTTGCTGGTATTTTAAAAAGTTTTTTATGCAAATGCCAGTATTTTATGAGTCTTGCTTTCAGATGCATCCCTAGAGATTATTATTTTTCAAAGTTGCACAGTTGTAATCCAGAAACATGTGGGCTCAAAACAAAGTAAAACAAGGTTGTCCTTATTTAAGTTGGGACATTGCCAAACGAAGTAGCATCTCTGTCCTCATGAAGAGGAGGGCAGAGAGCTGACTAGGATGTGTAATTTCAGACATAGACCTTACACTAATATCTCATAAAAATATAATTTATTCTGATTAATATAAATCAACCTGTCTTATGATTATCATATTTAGAACATAGATACTAGGCTTAAAAATAGTAGGTTGTTTGAGGATCCCATGATTCCTCTACTCAATAATCTCTTTAAGGAATTACCTTACATCTATAGGACCTAGATTTATACTTTAAAAGTAATGAGGACAATGATCATTTTATGAGTTGTGTGAAGATTACATGTAGTGTAACATTTATCAGAATAAAAGTTGGAGAGTTAGGGTTATAGCTCAGGTGCTTTAGTGCCCGCCTGTCAAGTGCAAGGTCCTGACTTTGT